CCATATTCCTTTGGCCAACTCCAATACGGACATTATCCCAGGACTCGCCGTACTGTTTCACCTGATGCTTGACGGGAAGTTTTTAAGCTAAATAGGATTTGATCAACCTCCCAATTTCACTCACGGATGAGGAATCAGCTCAGTCGGAGACAGCTTTCACGCACAGGACGACGCATTTCTGAAGTGGGAAGGATAAAGCAGTGTCCCGTCCGCTTCGCAAGTACATTCGCAACCTGTGCTCCAGCAAAGGCTCCAGGACCCTTCTAAAAAGTTCCCAGTTTCGATGAAGGCCATCCACTGGATTTGTGGTGGGGCAATTGCACGCTGCATCGTAAGGCAGCAGTAAGTACAAAGAGGCGAAGCCTCTCGATTCGTGGAGCCCCACCTTCTTAAGGTGGACAAAGCAAAAGAGTGCGCCTTAAAGAGCAATGTTAAACGGCGGGATTGCTCCGGCCCATATCAGACCTTCTGTGAAATGGATGTCTTTTTTAAGAACAAAGGCAATTGCACGAACCGCTTTGGCTCATCCTCCACTGAAGCTGTTCCTGGAGCGCCAGCGTTTGCAGCGTTTGTAGCTACGGTAACCTTATTCTTTGCTGCAGATGCTGCCAAAAGGAGAGGAGATGCTTCGATCATCAGTGACTAGATGAACTAATACTAACTCTGTGATACACTTTAGCAGCCATAACGGCTACAAAAATCACCTCGCTGTTGTGTGCTACTACTTATGCCATTTTTTTTCGCCTTTGTCTGGATGAACCACACAAGCTCCCATACGCCACTGTCTCCCTTTTCTGACTGTCTACTATCACAACCGATGAATCGCAGTTGGCCGACCTAATAAACATATTGACCGAATATCGAAAGAGATGATGATCAGCCGATCGCGGACAATACAGTGGGTGCGGGCAAAAAAAAAGCACTTTTTTCCTTCTTCGGCTTATCGAGGCCTATAAGTTACATTTATCAAATATTATCCGGGACATTTCTACCCACCAATATCTAAAGCAGCACCATTCAGAATACTATCATGACACTTCCGCCATCCTTCTGGAGGGATCCGCGGCCAGTCCCATCGAGAGATTCTGCCAACGCCGATCCGTGATCCGTGCAGGTTGCTGAGTTCAGCGAGATCGGCTTGATTTCTCCGCATTGTAACCACCCTAGATTGAACTCCGCCCCAAAGCCAGGCAAGTTGGAGGGCAGGCCGGCTTATAGGTCAGGTAGTGCTTAGAGTATTTACCACTGTGTCTTCAAGGTAACTCAACGGCCGCTTTCCATTACTAAGTTAGGCAAGGAGTTCACCTGCAACGCCTTTCGATTTCATGTAGGTGGCATCTTCTCAATGCTGTAGCAGTACAAAGTTTCCAAGAAGGTACGGGCGACCACATGTGAGGAGGATATTCTTCACGAGTTGCCCAATGTAACCGCCAGCGCTCACCTTTAGTCCGGGGCCCACTGAGAAAATATCGGTCTCTCCATTCCTCAGGTAGTGGTAGTCCGGTCACCACCATCAACCTGGCCTTGGCGATGAGGTCGAACGATGATGTCCTAGACAGTAGCGACGTTGACGGAGCTGCTCGATGATGGAGGTTTCCCAGATCGAGAGAGTAGCTCTCTAGCTATCCATGGGTGACTCCATACTAGAAGTTTCGCAGCTGTTCGGAGGTGACATGAATTCCGAACGTCTTCTCCAGTCAGGTTGCGGCTGGAGATGACTTCATATTTTGGACTGCTGTAATGAAGTGCGATGTGCAGCGCCAGTCCTTTTGCTCTATAGTCTGAGGAACTATCCTTGGGTATCTTTTGCCCTGCTACTCGTACCCACGTCCTCTGTCTGGGCTGCGAAAACTTTGCCGATATGTGACTCGGTCGGAATGTCTTTTTTTGCCCCCCCCCCCCTGTACATTCAGCCTTAACTCCAAACGTGGAAGCATAAAGGTCGTAAAGGTAAGTGCCTGGGGCACAGGGCAGCGCCACCATTGTGAGAGGGGGCAAAACGAGCGAAAGTGCGTGCTCGTTTGCCCCCGCTCACCCACACAACGAGGAACTGGTTTTTGCTGAGCAGCACAGTCTAATCATAATCCCAGAGCACGTCCTGCGAATGTGAAAAATTTTGCAAAATATGTCCCGTTACAAAATTTGCTCCTTTGGCTCTTTTGCTTTGCAACGACTCTTTTGCTCTTTTTCCCATCCGCCATGCTACCACAATTTCCCTAAAAATGTGCGACCAGCGCGGTAACTTATCACGTTGGGCGGATCTTCAATGGTGGTAAGCCGGCGTCGCGATGTGTCTGTATTTGGTTGCTGGGGAAGCATTGGCTGGTTCCCATTTGCTCTAAAAAACTTCTCGTTTGTAATCGGCCGCACTTTTCCTTGTATTATGTTGCATGCTATAAAGGGTGAGGTGGAGTGGTGGCGGGGGTCGTATTTGCCAGTTGCTAGGAAAGAAGGTCGTATTTGCCTGTTGGCTATATTGAGAAATGTGCTATATACCCTACCAGTCGCCGCGCCGGCTGACGCCGGCGTGGCTCCTTCTGATACGGCCCGGCTGTGCCGGGCGGGCGCGGCTTCGCCGCGCGTGCTTTCTTTCACATATTCTGAAATCTCAAACTGATATCCCCTTTGTTCTTCACTCCATTTTGTTGTTTTGTTTCCGGTGTACTGACAGTACTCTTGAGCTATACTTTACAGCATTACTTTCTTCTGACTCCGTCCACGTCGCTGAGAAGGCCCCCTCCACATTGTTTTGTGCCCCAACAGATCCTCCACCGACTGGACACCTCTCGCTGAGCCTGAGATCCACTGTTTTTTCTGGGTTACTTTGAGGGTAGCTCTGGGACAGTTTTAGGGAAATTTACATCTGACTCCGCCCACCTCACGTGCCGCCACCACAACTTCGTTTTTTTGCTCCCACAGATCCTCCACCTCTCGCGTATCCTCTGCATGACCTTGATCACTTTTCCGTGTCTATTGAAAGTGGTGCTCTGGGAGCCGCATTTACAGATCCTTTTGTCTAAGACTCCGCCCCTACCCTCGAGCAGGCCTCCGCGCCCCACAGGATGTTTTTGCCCCACAATCCTCACCGACGACCCTCTGCTGACCTTGATCCACTTTTTTCCGGTCTTTGAAGTGCTCTGGGGCCGTTTTGCAGATCTTTTGTCTGATTCCGCCCACCTCGGAGCAAGCTCCGCCCACAAGTGTTTTTGCCCCACAATCCTCACCGACGACCCTCTGCTGACCTTGATCCACTTTTTTCCGGTCTTTGAAGTGCTCTGGGACCGTTTTACAGATCTTTTGTCTGACTCCGCCCACCTCGGAGCAGGCTCCGCCCACAATGTTTTTGCCCCACAATCCTCACCGACGACCCTCTGCTGACCTTAATCCACTTTTTTCCGGTCTTCCTTCCTTCCGTGGTTGTCTGCCGAGATATTCTGGAAACTGAATTTTACAGACCTTTTTTTGTCTGGCTCCGCCCACCTCGGAGCAGGCTCCGCCCACAATGTTTTTGCCCCACAATCCTCACCGACGACCCTCTGGCCTGACCTTTAAATCCACTTTTTTTCTATGTTGTCTAGGAGTATTCTGCCGAAAGCTGTTTAAGACCTTATTTTTTGTCTGGCACCGCCCACCTCGGAGCAGGCTCCGCCCACAATTTTTTTGCCCTACAATCTTAACCGACGACCCTCTGCTGAACTTAATCCACTTTTTTTTCCGCCCGGTATTTTGGATGTGGAACGAGCTACAAACATTTTAAAAGAGATACCTGCTATTTAGGGCAGCCCCGCCCACTGTGGGCATGGTCTCATCTGTTGACAGCGCTGCCCTATATTTGCAGATATCTAACATTCTAAACCTGAGCTATTTTGCGACTTCCAAACACATCTTCGCGAACGGGTGTTACTTGAATTTTAGAAACGACGAAAAGCACGGCCCACCTGAGCTACCGGCCCGCATTTAGGGTTGTACACTGCCACAGTTAGTTTTTCTGGGGGCCTGGGCACCTTCCGCGATGCTTCCTTACTAACCTTATTCCCTTTTCCCCCCCCCATCTTTAGGCTGCCCCGGAAGCGAATTATGAACATTTTTGTGCGGACCCCAAACTTTCGGGGAGTGCCCCGCCCACTGTGGGCGGAGCTTCCCTTAGGTTCAAGTGCTGCTTTTTATATTTCTTGTCCACGCCCGTGAGAGTCCCCACCTTGACCGGACCTCTCCAAGTCGTTCTTCAGGTCGAACCGAATTTCCGGACAGACAAACTTACAAACAAACAAACAAACTTACAAACAAACAAAAACTTACAAACAAACAAACTAACTAACTAACAAACACAAACGAAACAGACAACAGGTTATATCATATGGGCGTGATATACCCCTCCATGGTTCGGACTCAGCTCGACCGTATCAGACGAGAGAACTATAGGGGGGAGGCGTATCGGACCCTCTCTTTTAGGGGGTACGGAGCCGACCAAAATCCACACTTTGAATCCCAACTGGAACTACTTCGAGACCATTCCCGACATGGTTTCCACGAACATGGCATAGTCATGATGAGTAAAATCTGTTAGGTTGTGGGGCAAATGGCGGAGCCACGGCTTACGCCATCTTACTGCTATCTCCTCCCCTATGGACCTCCAGACTGCATCCGAAATCAACATATTTCCATTCACCGAACAGTTCAGTAACCACATGAAGAGCATATTCAGCCCGCATGAGCGTCGGTAAAATGAACGGTCAGCGCGTCCGTTGCCTTCGTCACACAACACCGTTTTCTTTGTTGACTGAGAACGGGTATGGGGGTCCTATTTTCGGCGCATAAGAAACTAGCGATGTGTGCGACAGTTTGTCAGGCTGGTGGCCACGCTTACAAATCACACACGTCGCATGCTGCGAATGGCCGCGGCCGCGCGACACCACAGCTGTAACGCCGCCTTCACCATGCCCCCTCATTTCGGATCTCCTCAGCCGCATCAGTAAGGAAACACTTCAGAAAAAAAAGAACTAACCTAGAGCCTTCCACCATTTATCGCTTCTTTCTTTGCCAGCACCAAAGATGTGCTTGTTGGGTCCACGAACGCGACTCTTTTCTTTATCCTATGAAAACATTTTCAACTGCGAGAACGTTGAGATTTTTGGGAGAAACGTCACTGAATACTACTCACAAGTCCACGCACGAAATCTACTGGCTTTGCCATACCACTGTTGCCTCTATAAACATCGTTGATCGCATAAAACAACCAACGAGCTTCCTTCCCGACGTCAATACATTTCGATGACGAGCTCTGAAAAACGGGAGGTTATTCCATTTTTCAAGATAGCCGGTTTCTTCCTGCTTCCAGAATATTGCACCTGAGGGATGAGGCGTGGGTGGCGGAGTGTCAAGTGTCCCACTTACTACACCCGCGACCGCGGTCTGAGGGTCGAACTCCGGGCTCGATCGGCTCCCGCCACGCTGATCGAGCTCGGTTTGATCGCTGGAGATCATAAACGATGGTAAAACAGTACCAGATCCTTTTGAGAGAATAAGATCACTGAGTTGCACATCAGCTGGCCCCACAAGCCATGGTATAGGCCATGCCGCATTTTGCCGTACCTCAGAAGGGGACTGGTCAACGGCAAAAGGGTGGAAGTCGGCTGAAAAGGAATGTTGCACCTCCGGCAAGTTTCAGCTAGTTCCTGTTGAATTAGACGTCTCAACTTGGGGGGGGGGTCCTGTAGGCTGTGCAAACGAAACTTCTGATATTGCATAGCATAACATAAAAGCAATTTACATGTTTCCATAGAAGGTACTCTCCTCATCATTACGGACTGTCGGGGCGTATCAGCCAGTAGGAGTGCGCACACTGTTTGAAGCCGTTCTCAGCCTTTTTGTTGAAACGACAAAAAGTGGTAGAAAACGAGTAATACGAAGGATATAATGCTGTAATGTCATTTGCTCGCTTCAACAACTGGTGCAGAAAGACTTTGGCACCGCGGAAAACGCAGCCGCACTGACCCGCCCCGACAGTCCGTAATGATGAGGAGAGTAGATATCCCTG